CGCCGCCCCCGGGCGGTCCCGCCGGGCGCCCACGTGGGAAGGGGCGCGCACGTGGCCGCGGCCGCCGCTCGGGGTACCCACAGAACCCTCCGGGGCCCCTCCCTGCCTCTGGAATTCCGGAAACTTTCCCCCCCCGAGGTACCTTGGGGCCCCTTCCCTACCTCTGATTAATTTGGGGTCCCTTCCCGTCCTTCAGGTAATTCCGGGGCCCTGCCACCCACAGAAATGTGTCAGCCCTTCTTTCTTGTCCGCTCAAGCCAAGATTCCCATCCTGCACCTCCCCCAGACAACACTGGGTCTCCTCCCTCCTCCATTTGAGGGTCCTCTCTCCACTCTCCAGATTATTTCTAGTGACTTCCACACCCCTACACCAAACCAGGGGGACTTACCCTTTGGGCAACTGCCCGTACCCTCAGCTCTGGGCGAGGAGGATGGAGGTGAGGACAGCATCAGAGAGCAAGACCTTCAGCAACACCACACGGACAGCCATAAGCAGGGCTGCCAAGGCAGGGGCCGGTGACACTGCAATGGAAGGGTGAGGTGATGCCTGCCACAGACACCCCACTGCCCCCACATCCTCTCCAGGCCCGCTATGGGGCCACGTTTGGGCAGACTTGGAATCCTTACACATCCCAGAGACACCTCATGTCACCCTCATGCTGTCCCTGAGAGCAGGCTAGCTCTGACCCAGTTTCCCCATTCTTCCCACCAAGGTGAAGCTTCCCTCCCTCTTCCCAGTCCCACAACACCGTGGGGAAAACCCATCCCAACCACCACATAGTCCCAGCCAAGCCACTGGCCAGGGCTTTCTCTCCAGACGTTCCCACCAGGCAGGGGCCAGAGACTCACCAGCTGTGCTACACAGCTCTGCCGCCTCCTCATTGCCTGTGGGATAAAAGAGCAGCTGGGGAGGCACTGGCAGCCCCAGCACCAGGTGCATGGCAGTGCTGGCCACAAACCCCTTCCTGTGATCCAGACAGCAACGTTTGCCCCTAGGGCCTCACACCTGCTCCCTGCTGGCCCCAGAGGCCCTGCCAACCTCCCTCCTCGGGGCCACCAGTGCACACGCCAGGCTGGGCAGCAGGGTCATACCCGTGATGCGGATGGGGCTGGAGCTGTGGGATGGAGAGGTCCTGTTGGCCCCCACATGGCAGGCAAGTTCCCTCTCGCGGGGGGGGTCACTGGAAAGGAGGGAGACGGAGCAGACGGTGCCACCATCCTCCTGGGAGGCTCCATAGGCAAAGGACTGCAGGATGCTGCCGTTCCCACCGGAGATCCAGACAGCATGGCCAGAGCTGGGGGCCAGGTCACTCACCACGCACACGACCAGCTGTCGGCGCTGCCCAGCCAGCACCATGCTCAATGGCCGTGTCAGCGTAGGCAGTGGCACAGCTGCCCTGCCAACTGAGGGAGACAGCTTAGGGGCACTGCTTCCCTCACACATCCCACCCAGCACGGCCGCCACCTCGGCAGAGCTCAGCCTTTGCATCCAGGCTGGACGGCACCCGGCTTTCCCACCTCCTGGGTCTGTACTGGGGGTACTCACGGGGCAGGAGCGGGAGCAGAACGGCAGCCAGCAGCACTTGGAGCAGCTCCATGGCAGCTGCAGCGCATGGGGCTGCCAAGGCTCAGCCCCCAGCCGCATCTCCAGCTG